ATAAAATGGTTTAAAAGTTTGGTTTTCACTGCTTGGCCCATACCATCACGGCGACTCGGAAGGAACAGATTCTTTCGTTCACCACACCAATGTCGCTGTTCTTGATTGTTCATAGCACGGTTGGCCGTCCTGATTGTTCAGACATGATTTTCTAGGTCAGAATGGATCGGGTTTATTTGTACTCATCGGTATGTACCTCGGAAATTAGCATGGATGGTCTTCAGACTGGACTTGCGTAGGAGCTACCAGCATCAACCGCAATTGCGACATTAAGTAATTGCATTTGTTCATCACTATCTAAGTTCCATTTCCAAAAACCTAACAATACAGTAAACTCTTACATTGTGTCAGAAGAGTACAAGGCCATTTCGTGCCCAACAAGACTGCCATCTTACTTGCTGATCCTGGTAGATCGTCTCGTACCAGGCGTAGGCGGCTTCTGCTCTTCCTTTCTGGCGCTCTGCTTTTTGGGTGTTGCTCTCTTGCCATTGGCAGTCTTCACGTCTTCCACTTCTGCACCACCGTTGGCGTCTTTCTCAGCGCTGGCACCGTTCGTGGCGGCTTTCCTGGATTTGCTGCCTTTCGTTGGTGTCGGTAGCTTCGCCTCTTCCTTTGCAGGCTTGCTTGCTTTCGAACCTCTGGCAGGCTTCTTGGCAGGCTTTTGCTCCTCTTCCTCGTCCTCGTCTTTCACAGCCACGTCTTCCTGCTGCGCTTTCCTCTTCTTGCCTTTCACAGGCTTCTCTTCTGCGGAGTCTTCGTCCTCATCAGCATCGCCTGCAACAGCTCCAGTCTTCTTCTGCACGCTTGGCACAATCGCGCTCGTCCTGCCTCCGACAGTGATGTGCATGATCTTTTCCCCATTGGGGAGGACGTTGGCATCCTTCTTGCCCTTGTTCCACCGATACCTCATCAGCCAACCTTCGGGAAACTGCTTCGAGTCTGCAAGCGTTTCGACCGCGATCGTGCAGATTCCGATCAGCGAGTCATGTAGGCTCTTGATTTGCTTGTCTGAGAAGGAGTTGCTGTACTGTTCCGGGTGGATCCTTGCGTTATAGAGAATCTCATCAGCGACCCAATTCCCAACACCACTAAGGTTGGCCTGGTCCAACAGTAGCGCTTTGATGGGGACGCGCTTCCGACGCAGCAGATCCTTCAGCCATGCAACCGTCACTATGTCTTTGTCGCGGACGGGATCTGGGCCATTTTCCTTCAGAGGAGTCTGGTTTCGAATGTCTTCTGCATCGCAATCGACCAGCCGTATCCGGGCCAATCTCCTTGCATCGCAGAAGGCCACCTCGACCGCGTCCCTATCTCCATCCTTGTCGCACTTGAGCAGGAACTTCATGTACTTCGGCGGCCACGCTTCCTTCTCGTTCTCCTCTTTCGCAGAACGATAGTATCCCGTATATTCATTGCTGAATTTGATCCACCCGGTCATACCAAGGTGCATGACCGCATGTGGAGGCTTGTCAAAGGTTATGTAGAAGTATTTGCCCTGTTGTGCAGCACCTGTGACGCGACGGCCGGTGACTGCATCTTGAAAGGCGGCAGCAGAGGTGCCGGCCTTACCATAGACAATCTGGTCTTCGTAACCAGTGCATGATGCGACTGTGCGATTGAGTAGGTTTTTGCGTAGATAGTGAACCACACGCGCGACTTCACCGATCTAGAAGTCGTCAATTGGTCAGTTGGGTCTTGCCTCCGTACGCACTGTGAGATGGCTTATATACCTCAGGCATGTCTAATCGCAATGTTCATATGGGTGCGCAGGTATATGTCGATTGCTGGTAGAGGTGCCTTCGACCAGCGGTTTGTCGCCCCATCGTGGTCCAGTCCAGGTGCTGCCTAAGGTTCGGCTGGACGCGACACAGATCGCGTCGACGTCATTTGCAAGACCACGCGTTGGAGCACCTGCCTGTAGGTCTGATCTGACACTAGGCCTGGAGAGTTCGTGCCACTCTCACTGTAGACACCGGCTAGTGTTTCCTTGGGACCTGTCCAATCATCTCTCAATATCCGCCAGACCTGACCTTGTTCGCACTCGCTCACATCAAAGTACCTAAGCACCGAATATATATAATATAAACCTTCCACTCCCCAACTCGAGTGCGAAGTGATTCTGAGATTGTTCAGAGTCATGGAGGATGTGTTGAGAATATCGGCTTCGAGGCATCATGGCTTGCTGCAAAACGCAACACATACACCGGTCAATGTTCTAAACGCATGGTTCGTCACGGACATTCAGCAGCTTATCTTCCTGCATTGTCGCCAAATGCCGCATTAACTATCCTGCTCTGGGTGATGCAAGGAGAGAGAGTGACCCTGTCCTAGATGTGCTGTGAGATTCTCAGATGGCCGAGTAACAAAGCATCTATCTTCTATCAGAGCACGCGATGCTGTAGCACAAGCTCACCCGCCTCTCACCGACATCGGTCTCTGACCAAACCGCCTGCATTGCACATTCAGGCAACACACGGCCATCCCTATATCTGATCATGGAGATAAGCGCCTCAACGTCTGCTTGCAGTTGAAGTCCACTTCTGGTCCCATCTCGCCATGTCCGTCAAAATGAGCGCTGTAGGTTCGCGTTCCACAAATGATTGTGGGCATCTGATCCTGGTCCTGGTAGAGCCCTACCATACTCTTCTCGTAACATGCCAAAACCGCCAACAGCACACGTCGCTGCTACCGAGACTATAAGCGCAAAACTTCAAATTGTCGCCGCGCTTGCAATACCAACCTTGATCAGTACTGTTAATCTAGGCTTGACTGCTTCATCCTGGCACAGTACCGGTTCAATCTACAATGCCGCAATCTACCATCGAAGTTCCATTCAGTTCTGTGTACAGATTTTGTCATCGATACTGGGTGCGCTTCAACTGTACGTGGTCAGCAGCGTAATTAGGTTCCGTGCAAATATCCATCTCCAGCACAACGAAACCACTCTGGACAGATTAAAACTGCTCAGTGCACTGTGGTCTGCTAGATTTGATTCAGATCTACCCCGATCAAGCGCTGTACTCTTATGCCTGTTTCTAGCAGCCGTCCAGATTCCAGCTGCTATCTGGGCGTCGTCGATTTCGCCTGTTCTTACTACAGCAGAAGCGAACGTAGCCATTGCAACACCTCATTTCGACGCCTCAAGCTCTCTTGCAGATCTCTGGAGTCAAGGCTGTCGCCCCGGTAGTGCATGTGGCAACCAGACACAAATAGGCCAGTCCAGTGCCGGCACCATCACATACTTGCCATGGAAGAGTAAGTTGGCAACTCTGGAAACATATAGAGTCACTGCAGCTGACACAGCGTAACCAGGTTTGACCGGTCTTGCGATAGACGTGATTGCTCAGGCGTCAAGCCGAACCACCTCCGCCCCCAATCGCACGAAGCTTGACAGAACCGGCTTCACTTACCGTGGTCGCTCGTACGGTGTAGGCTCGACACTTGGACTACTACCACTCTTTTGCCGGGAAGGTGATGATTGCGATCTCGGTGTAAACGTTGTAAATCTGAAGACGTCTACCTTCTTCGAGAATGGTTATGACACCAATGTGAACTGCATGTTTAACGCTTCCAGTGAGCTGAACCTGGTCCAACAAGGTAATGTCGATGTCCCTGGGGCAGGATCTGTCGATGTCTGGCAGGCAACCGGATCGCTTCCAAACGGCAATTGGGATTCGTTCCCAACTTGGGGTAAATCTACAGAATGTGTCATGGCTGCGAATGACGCAGAAGGCAGGTACTTGTACGGTTTCATCACAGCTGGTGACGGCTACTACACGCGGCTCAACACGATACAATGCGAGGTAAACTTCTTGCCAGCGCGCTTTCAAGTAGACGTCGATTTTCTGGAAAAGAGTATCAATGTTACCAAAACGGCCAGCGACAACTCGACGTCATCCCCCCTTGATATTGACCCTTCAGGGAAACTACGTTCAAATATATTCATGCAGCTGAGCTACATGTCCGTCACGCTCACGACGCTCTACACCTCGCTTTTTGCAAACGCATTCCATAACAACATCGTCAACGTCATTGCCCGCGATGGCAACAGCGTCACTGAAGATCCCAGCTCGTCCATTCCCGGAACAAACGATGAGATTCTGGCAGGCATTCAAGAATCCATCGAAGCGAGCCTGGATGCGTTCGCAGGTGCCTTCGGTGCAGCGCAGTCAATGCTAGCCCAAGAAATCACCCCAGCAGACACCAAAGTTGAATTCAGCGTTGCCAAATTCGGCGAGACCAGTTACGTGTACGGCTCCTTCTTATTCAACGCGGTCCTCATCCTGCTCGTAACTGTGGAGCTAGTCCTGACCAGATTCTGGCGTCGCGCGCTAAAGTTCAACATCTTCGACGTCAAGAGTGCCATCATGGCTGTTGCATCAGCACACGATGAAGGTCTCGCTGAAGAAGCAAAGAGTTGGAATGGCGATGGCTCAGATCTCGAGGTTGGCAAGATCCGGCTTTGGCTGCAGAGGGGCATACCTGCTTTGACGACAGTGAATAGAGTACAGAGCCGAATGTACTTGCTGAGAAGCGAGACATCTGAGCAGCATGAGATGATGCCAGGCACCATGGATAACTAAAGTTGTGTGGGCAGCAGTTCTTATCTGAGGGTGCTATAGCATAATATCGTCAATTCGATTTAGAAGTATACACCTAAAGTCTCGAGAGATATTCTAATAACACAAAAACCAACCGCCATCTTAACTGAGACTGGCTCCTGTTTCCCCTCCTGCCAGCGGCTCCCACTCAATGGCCAGTGATTGAATTAAAAGCAGACATATTACACTTCCCTGAGCGTGCGTTGTAAAGACAATGCGAAGTCTTCCTATCAGAGAACACAGCCTCGAAGACCCTGAAGTGGTATATGACTCTGTTGTGACACTTACGCCCTACCTGTCCTTTTGTTACCACCCGCAAGAAGGAGAGGGAGTGAGTGGCTGAGTGAGGAGATAGAGCGAACAAAAAGCAAAAACGAAGCCATCAAGGTTCAACTGGTCTGGTCAGTACGAGGGTCGAACTCGCGACCTTGGCGTTATTAGCACCACGCTCTAACCGACTGAGCTAACCGACCATTGTTCAATAGTATCGAGTCAGAGATCGAACGACCGATGATTGATGTGGTAAGGGGTGTCGGTAAAATCTATATACTCCCAAATTTGGTGCAAGTGGAAGTCTAGCGGGGTACATCAAAATTTGGTGGGGCCTCATGGTGGGCTGTTTGCTATGCCAAGACATCTGTCACTCGGTATTATGAGCTGGGTATACCATCTTAAAGACACCAAAGCATACATACTTGAAGTGTAAATCAGAAGGCCCAATTGTGCTCTAAGCAACTCTCTTATTGACCAGCGTCGAAAAAAGGATGACTACAGCTCAGGTATCTCATCAGTCTTAGACTGCTTGGTCGATTGACAACGCTCACTTTTGCTACATCTATATGCTGTTATATACTAGCCAACAAAGTTACCACTTATCAACTGTTACGGTCGCTAGATGATACCATGAACTCAGTTGTATCTTTGCTATCCACGCCATATCATATCTCGTGGACTGCCGTAGAATTGCATTCAGGTCGATCTGGCGATCATCGTCGACGGCGCTATGTCGCTGCCTCGAACAGGCATGTTGTGCTTACAGGATCATTCCCATTGCCTTATCAGTAGGGAACTGACGCATTGTCAGGCATCTAAGACTTGGACAAGAAACTCGATTGCAAAACCTCCTGCACTTTAGGCGGTAGAGGCTCTGGCAGGTCTTTAAGCGCAGTTCGTAATTGATCGCCTTGCTTCTTCACAGCCGGGTTGTTTGGCTCAAGGCGCTCTGTCGCAATGAGGCATTTGAGTGCTGGAAGGTATTTCTCTAGAGGCGCAGAGGTCGAAAGTCAGCAACTGTCTCAACTCGCTTGGAAGACTCATGAACACTTACTTCTCCGGATGTTCACCTCGAACCCAGCCACCTGACCGTCGACTGATTCCGGGCTGAGTTCTAGCACTGGCCGCAAAAACTTCATCGCCTCTTCTAATATCGATTCAGGAGTGGCGGTGATGGTTTTGTATAGTTCCTCACCGTTCGGGTCAGGATCTTCCTTCTTACGCTCACCGTCCTCGTCCTTAGGTGGTGCGGTCGCCTTCTTTGCAGCAGCCAACTTGCGTTCCGCCTCCGCCTTCTCAGCCTCTTTCTTGGCCTTTTTAGCAGCTTTTTTCCTTTCCGCTGCGCTTTCGCCGTTGGCATCGCCATTAGCATGCGAACCTTTTATGAGTGCAGGATTGTCATAGAGCTGAAGCAGGATACTGATAGCAGACAATGCGGCACGGGTGAAGAAGGGATGCTCCCTCAACACGTCCTCCCATCTGATCATATCGACATAAGCACGGACCATTCCCTTTCGAAGAGAGAACGTATGGAAGTCAAACTGGTCCTCCGCCCAAGTGTCAAAAATGTCATAGATCTGTTTGAATCTCTTTAGAGCGAGGGCATACTTTCTTTGGCGCGCGTAACTTTCACCGTCCTCGGTGACAAACCAGACACATTGCATGTCCAATAGATCGCCAAGCGGACCTCCAACGGCTTCTTTGCGAGTGAACAGCCCCATAGTCTCTGTTGCAACGGCGTTTTGGTCGTTACGTAATTGATACTTGGCACATTTGGTGTTGATGTAACGATCCTTTAGGTCCATTTCGCGTGCGGCATTCATGGCGGCTGCTGCTCCAGAGACATCTCCTGAGTGCTTCAAAATGCGCGCATGAGTCATGGCATAAGTGTAATCCGACTTTGAAGGATTGACGGAAATAGCTTTATCAATGTACTTTTGCGCTTTGGCAAGATCGCGAGAGAGGTGGTAGTCATAATGCTGGGCAAGGAAGTAATTGACGCTGAGTTGCCAGTTAGTAGAAGTGTCGTTCTTGTGTGGGCCATCTGTGTTGCCGTTCGCCTTCTCCAGGCCACCATTCGGCTTGGGTTCTTCCTTTGAATAGCCCTCAACAAGCTCTCGGATTATCTGCTTCTTGCTTTCGTCTGCGTACAGCTGTTTCACATTTGCGAAAGTGCTAGGAATTCCCCTAGTAAATTTGCTTCGCAGGTATTGATCTGCATGTTGTTTGAATGCATCTCCTTCGAGGAAGTCCAAAGGTATTCGTCGTGGAGCATCGGATCTTGGATTTGTCGCATACTCTGCATATACAGTCATGAGTTTCTCGCACTCATCTTTGTTGTCTCTCCTCAAGCCCAGAGCTTTCTCCAACCCGTCGTAATAGTCTCTTCTATCTGAGTTTCTTGCAAGTAATGCCCTGTATGCTTTTGCAGCCTCTGGCTTTTTGCCCAACTTCAAGAGGTAATTCGCTCTCATCTCCATCACGGCCGTCCTGTCGATTGCCAATCGGGAAACCTCCTCGAGGTGATCCAACGCTCTCTCAGTCTCTCCCTCTTCGGCAATGATGAAGTTCTTGTAAAGAACTGCCTCTTGATGCTCTATATCGCTCTTTGGCGGTAATTGCTTCAGGGTGTCCTCGTACTTTTGCAAAGCATCTTCTGCACCCTTCAGATCGCCACTCAAATGCAATGCAACTGCCAGCGCAGTCCAGTTCATCCTTAACTGTGGCCGTGCCTGCAGCATCTGCCGTCTGCTCTGTATGAAACCAGCATAATCTCTTGTCTGCACCTGCAAAAGCGCAAGATCGCGCTGAATCTGCTGTGATTCTGGATCGAGCCTCAATGCAAACTTGTAGGCCTTGGTGGCTTCCTCGTAGTTTCGAACGGCTCGGTACAGCAGACCGTATACGTGCCAGCATACGTGGCTCTTCATGGCATTCTTGAGAGCCAACTTGCAGAGATCGAATGCCTCGTCTTGCTTTCCCTGGTTGCTTAGGATCAAAGCTTTCATCGCTTGAGTGTCACCATGGTTGGGATGTTTCTTCAAGATCTGGTCGGCAGCCTTGAGTCCCTTCTTGTGCTGCTTTGTCTCATAGTTCTGAACCAGATGACGGAAGAGGGTGGCCTCCTTGGAGGGCAGCGGTTGCTGTTGCGACATGATTATCGTCCGTGGGCGTCGTTGAGGTTGAATGGTCGATCGATTGCTACTGTAATAGATTCGTTCTTATTCGCTGGATGCGTCTGATACTGACGAAATCTTGAAGAGGGTAGGATTTGTCTACACGGCCATCCACAGCTAAGTGATAGCAATGCGCCAGACTCCTACTGATGCGCGACTTGGAAAAGGATGAAGCGATGTCTGGTCCGAACCTTGAGCCAACCAGAAGGAAAGTCGCTAGAGAGTGGGCTGGTTTTGAGCCTTACGTCTATTCGCACCGCGGAACTTTTCCCGCATACATTCAACTTGCACATGCCAAGAACTCTGGCCTCTGCACTGTATACATTTCTTGGATTGTGTGCACACGCTCGAGATTCACGACATGGTTGTGCACTTCCATTGCTGCACACACCAACCCTGAGTCAGCAGATGCCGGTCTATATACAGTCCATATGCTTGCTGCTATCTTCCAGGCCGTCAATCTTATTCCTCCATGTAATCTCTACAACCTCTGCCACCACGCTCTCGCCTTCCTTCTAAGTTACCCAGCAACATCTTGTAGGACGTAGAATGAATCCTTAGTGATGTTGGGCTTGATGCTAGTTTTAGAAGCGTTGTCTCTGGATTGAGACTCTCACCTACTGGCATCGATACCTCAGCCCTCGCCGGCGAATGGTTCCAATCAAGACCGAGAAATCCTCGTCTGGTTGGCAAAACCTTAGAAGCTCTGGCAGCTTCCGCTACGAGACTTGGAGGCACGCATTATAGATAGGTCTAGGAATTGCAAGCTAGCTTGAAAGTACAACCGTTCAGCAAGCCGCCCTCCTTGCTCGAATTACAATATACTCTTCCGTAAGTTCAGCAATGTTCAAGCACACCCATTCCACTCTCCCCCATATGGTGCCTTGCTTCATCACATACAGACAACCGGAAACCATCTTCTGCGTTATGATTTCAATGTTGCGTACGTGTCTCCTTCCATGAACCATGACTCAGGGACTGACTCCAAGTGTATCAAGTTTCTCTGTTCTCGTAGTATCATTCTAGCTCCAGTAATGCTGCTCAACCAGGATCAGAGTCTACTTGCTCATATCACCCAAACTTTCGATGCTCGCTCATCATCTTACAAGGTGGCAACTGGGTTATCTTCTGATGGTTAAACAGTTCTGTAAACCCTGTCGTGCTTGTTGAGAGCGGTTGCAATTTCCAGTTTGTCGTATTTACCAGTTGATGTATTCAGGTTCATCACCTTCGGCCATCTTAATTGCGATTTCAGCTCTTCAACGTTACTCTCAACGTAGGTAATAGTAAGTGGTGTTGTGTGCACACCGGTCACTTAACCTAGCCTAGACTCCTCTGATATGCAATTGTGTACAAGCTGTTCAACCGAGTCTCAGAATGTCTACTAATTTGCCTTTAGAAGTGGTCGTAAATACTGGCGGACGTGTAGAAATGAGTTGGCAAGTCCCTTTGAACGTGACTCCACTAGCTAAAAGCGTTGCACAGGTTTTCCGATATGACTATTCCTATACAGCCAACGTTATCTAGCATATTACATATACATCTCTTGGAATTCAGTTGTGGACTTTCCCTGATCGCTTCAAACATCTTCTCTCCTGTACTAGTAGCTAGACTGAAGTTATCGCTGAACACAGTTTGCGCGCAACACAATACTCTAACGCTATCATACCCACGTGGGCTGTCGATGGAGTGAGAGTCTGCCTACACTTCGTCATAAATGGTATTCGTACTAACATCAATGCGCTACAGTGTCTTTTGAGGTGAATAATGATTCGCCAAAAGCTACTCTTAGAAGTTGACATTCTACGAGAAGCATTCAAGCTTACGAAAGTGAAAATAAGGCGAAGTGTCACAGTCCTCGAATGCACCTTGCGGCAGTGCACTGTAGGGATGGGATCTGAGCATGTAGATGCCATTGCTCCGTCACTACGAAAAAAAAAATGTGGAAAATGGGAAAGTCTTTTCTTGAGCAACACCAACCGAGTTTCTGTGAGCTGCTCTTGTTTCCTTTTCAACCTAGCATC